CTGCCTCATTGCCAGTGAGAGAGGATGATGAAGGTCTGACCTGGTATCTCTGGAGAGCTCTCGCTTTCTGGCTGTATGATTGGTTGGGGCTTTTCTCTGGTTCTTCCTCTCAGTCCCCACTATCATCAGAGGATTGTATGGACCAGAGTGTCAGATTGTCCAGTACAGTAAATRCAGTGATACTGACATCTTTGTGGTACATGGAACTTCATCTGTCTTACTGAGTGCTGCTTGACATCCTCAGTGAAAGGCTGATGGACAACGTCCATGATGTGTCTTCTGCTGGGAGTGGTAGTAGCCATTATGTTCTGCCAGGACGGACTCTGCACTTGGACTTTATGATGTGTTTAAAAAAGTTAACAGTTTCTGAGGGAATCACTACTGCTGATATCTGTTCCATCAAACACCTATTTAGACACAGCTCCTCTCAGAATTGAAGGTGGGTCTAAAGCCAGCGGTGTCTAAGTCTGCTTGTGCTGGATAAGTGATGACACAGCCTAGGTAAAAATGCCRGTGGCTGTTCCTGCCTTTCACTGTCAGAGCTAGTATGGTGTGGAGTACTTCAGCATGAAAACAAATGAGACATCATAATGTGAACAAATGAGAGCCTGGTGACTAAGACACTAACTGGGAATATTGTCTTCAAATATTTGCTGGAGCCCATGCTGAAATTCAAGACTTTATCTCCCAAAACTCAATAAAATATGTTTGCCATCAGTCTCCTCACCCTTCAGCACATTACAGTGTCTGTCTTGCTTTGCCCCTGGAGTGCTTCTCCATTACGTTTTTTAGTGCCAGACAGAGAGACTCAAACTGTTTGACTTCTTAGCACAACAGTTTCACCACTCAGTATTGCTACAGCTTTCAATGAAACTCTGTGGTTCCTRTAAAAGATGTGTGATAGCAAATGACTCCAGCAAAAATATCAAGAAAGTGTCATCACACTGAGAAAGGGCTAAGAGCTCATTTGTCAAAAGGGGAAGACAAAGGTAGACATAAATTTCACTGCTGCACAATTCTCAAATCATGGGAATGACATTACCTACTTAGTCACAAAATCTAGACAGTCAGTTCTTTATTCAGCCTTCCTGTGAGAGTTAATTAAAAAAAGGAGGATCTTCAGTAGCCGGGAAAGTCTTGTTCAGCTATAAAAATCCCTAACTTTTCTCCTCTATTGTCTGCACAATTTTCCTTCAGTATTTCTATCTTGCACTCATGTAATTTTACATATAAATTCAGAAGGGAAGGAAAATTCTCTCTCTCTAAGAGACAGATTTAACATTTCTGTGTTGCTGTGACCTGCCTTGTAAAAGTTAGTCATGACTGATTGATAGGGGGGACATTTTGTCACAGCGCTAGCAGTACCGATTTCGATATCTAGCCTGAATTCTCCAGTGTTGCAAAAATCTCTTTGCTGTACATTAATGGACAAGTAATCAACAGTATCTTTTATACAAGGATACAAGAGTAATTGGAGCGGCTGAGGAAAAAACATGTCAGTAAACAATGCTCTTAGTCAGACAATACATTCTGAAAATGTGACTCATTATCACAAGCAAATCTAGTTTATGTCATGCTATGGGTGACTTAATTGCCTGTAACCGGGATAAAAAAATAAGATTGTTTAAATGCAGCTTCAGGGAGTGCTACATATTTTATCTGAGTTTCATCTGGTTTCCCATGATATCAAAGCTGTGTTCAGTGGATGGAGATTTACAATCAGAAAATGATATGTGGAGCTGAAGAATGTGAGGGGATGATGTGCCTTATAGAATTAGTTATCATTGCTGGGGAAGTAGAGCTGGTTTACAGCTTGCTTTTTCCCTCTCCATCTGGGACTGATCTGTGTCTTTGTGTTGTATATAGGAAATGTTCTCTACAATTCTCTGAACGTAAAGACTCTGTTCCAGGCACTTTGGTGTAGAAGATTTTGAAAACCTTGACTTATGCACAGACAATAGTTRGCATGCACATTTTTACAAGTATGTTTTCTTTACCCTGTATTTAAAAACCAAAMAAGTATACCTAGATTGACTCAACTGACAACAAAGGAATAATCATGGACGCATTTCCCTCCTGCTAGCCAAGGTTATGCACACAATGTATTATTTTGGTTTATTTTTTTGTTTTAAAAATGAATGCTACACAGCAATTGAAATTACTTTTCTGGAAGCATAGAATTATTCCAATGRATGCCTAGATACAAGGAAAGAGAGGTATGTAGGCATTTTTGTTTCAAGGTCCCTGTGATTGATAGCCAGGCTATAAATAGATGGTGGTTTTGGAAAATCAAAACAGTTGATGGCATCAGGCATTTGCAAGAAGGTTTTTCATATGGATTTCTGTTAGCTGGTCTTTTGAATGGACTTACTAACTATGGTCTGAGCTATGTGTAATGGGATTATTTTTTCATGTGCTGCAGTCATTTTCCTTAGGTAGRTCAGTTTTGCCTTATTGTAATTCAAAAGTATCATTTTTGTTTAGGAATAGGCTCTAGATTGGAAATAAAGGTTGAGTTTTGTTGATTTCCCTAGCAATTTTTGAAGCTGAAGTTGGTTTTTGTTACTTCTACCAATCTCAAAGACAGAACTTAGAGTTGACAATTAGATGTACATCTTAAAATATCTTTACCATGTCACTCAGCTTAAAAGCCAAAAGTAAAACAATCACTAGATATGGGATGTGAGAGCATTCATTAGCACTGCTCAGAAACAGGGAACTCTTTTTTTGTAAAAGCTCTTTGAGGACGCAAAATAAAACTGCAAGTAGGCTTCTTGCTGACAAGTTGCAGGTGTATACCACATGCCCATATTGGAAAAAAGATGCGGTTATGAAGGTCTTGATGACAGACAAGGTATCTAAAATGCCTTCATCTCCAGGTTTTAGCCAGTCCATCTGTTTTTTATTTGCATTTTCCCCAGCTAGCAGTGGGGAATTTTCCAAACTCAGTGCACACATCTACAGAAAATCACAATTTTTTGCATTGTAAGATCCTTAGGTTAGTAAGGTATCATTTAAATCAGGGAAGTCTTACTTTTATGCTAGCTATATAATAAATTTTAAGACATTTTTATTTATTTATTTCTGGAAAAATGAGGGAAAGGAGCGATGAGATTGAGGGAAAAACACTTCAACTTGGCTTTGCTAGAGTGGGTAGAATCTGCTTATGCCTTCAAAGTACCAAAAGGGTGTTTGCATTTGTCTCTTATTGGTACTCCTAGCTTACAAGATCTGGCTTTCTTTGATGTTCATCCTCTTGAGGAAATGTTCATTCTCAAGGCTAAAAGACTTCCACATACTTCAGAATACTACTAACAGCTGCACCCTAAAAAAATCCTCAAAGGCACATACTCAGAGGGCAGAAGAATGAGACAACAGCACTTGGGAAACATCCAGCCAGCACTTTCGGTACTGTAAAGTAAATTTTGACAAAGAAAACMACTCATGAGGTCACATAAGAAATGGCATCAGTTCCCTTCCCTCTACTTACGCTAAAGAAATTTATTTGGTTTTCTGTAAGTCCTCTTGTTCTGTGATTCACAACAGAATGGCATGAAGATGGAGAAGCAAGAGTCTCCATTTAAAGGAATAATTTTCAAAGTGAAGTCTCAAAGGCCATGAAGTTTTTCCTTTTCTGAGAGCAATACAAATGTTGATTTAAAATATGATTACAGGAAAGTAAACATTTTACACTGAAAATGAGTCAGTTCATCTTTTTGTTTGGGGTGAACAATTAATTGCWAAATAATTTTGAAAACAGTAAAAGCAATAGTTTGATTTACTTGAAATACTGCAGAAAATTAGCTGAGGAAGTGTAAACATCATTTTCCAGAAAGTGCACAAAATTTATCGTCATCTTTTCTATCTTAACAAATTCCTCGAGCATAAATTTGAGAAAGGGAAAAAAAATCTGTAATTAATTTAATAGGCAGTAAAATTAGATTCAGACAGATCTCTTAGTTGGAACCGTGTGGGAGTCAGCAGAAAGCATCCTGGAATGTGACAGTGTGTGTTATTATGTCTCCTTCAAGTACCATGTCTTCTCCTTTTGTAGGAATAAATTTTATCTTTACGGGAGAATGAATTACCTTTGCATCCTTTTTTTTTAAAATCAGTTTTCCTGTGAGTTAATGCTGGTTATGATGAGTTTAGAAGGATTTCATATCCATGTATCTTCTTGCAGGGAAATACATGTGCAAGATATTTTGTRCTCTGTAATGCATTTGAGGCTGCATACCACAGAGGGTGTTTGGCAGGTGTCAAGTTGAGGGAGTATTCTCCATAAGTGAATGAAAGGTTATCAGAGTRAAATGCTGTCCAGTGATGTTTGTTCACTCCCAAGGAATCCCACTGGTGTGGGCCAGTGATGAGTGGTGCAGTTGCAAAGACACCTGCACCAGTGCAATCCAGATACTACTGTGACAACACTGGGCTTGTTATCAACCTCTGTGTTTGACAACTGTCGAAAGAAAAATGCCTCCTCCAAGGTTAAAATGAAATGTTACCTATCGGAGGGTGTGTTTCAATATTTTTACTGGCTGTCAAAGCTCTGTTGATTCTTCATTGTGGAGTTTTAAAGTCTTGTCTACAAATCAGACCCCTAAAGCCACAATGTGAGATCTCTTGTGCCCACATATTTTTGAGGTAAGGAAAGATGAAACCATGAGCGAGCTCGTGTATCTCTCTTGTTCTTTAAGTGATGACCAGCAGTAGTGTGAGCTTAAAGACTGCTATATGGCTTCAGTGGAGCATCCTTAGCTGCATCTCCCAGCCCTGTGAATTGTTACCTCAGCTATGTTTTCTTTGTTTGGAAGTTTTGGTAGTAGTTTGTTTTCTTGG